GGAAGGAGCGCCAGGTACGTACCCGTTTCGGGACAGGTTGCTTCCTGCTGCAGGTCCAATGTCCCCATTATTCCCGGTACGTACCCCATGCGCCTTCCAAGTTCCGATTGCAGCTCTGACACGCACTTCATTTCGACCGCAACCTCATGATCCTCCATCACTACTTCTTACCACCGACCAAATCCTGACGGCCGCATTATGTCCTCTGCTATTGCATGAGCCACGAGCCCGTTCGTCTCCCTCATCGCCAACGCGTAGCTGGACATCTTGGACCCCTTTTCTTCAGCGGCCTCCTCCCGTCCCGTCGCCGTCGCCGTTGGGTTGTCGTCCAGTCTCTATTCATCCATCCACCCACTCAATGCGAGACCTGGATTAGAGGGGTCCTAGGGGTCCAAAGCGCGCATTCGTTTCTGGTCCATTTCTCCGTGGATGGTAGAACTTTCATCTCTTCACAACCAAGAGTTTATGAATAGCAGCAATTCATCATCAGTCGAGTCACTTTCACCCCTTCTTTTCGGTGCCACATTCATGCAACACGCAAAAAAAAAAAAAAAAAATGAGACGAAAATATGTCCCGCCCGCCTTCAGCCCAAACCATCGTCATCTCATCTCATCTTTTCTCTCGCCAACCCCTGGATGTTGTTCTCTTGCCAACGCCTTTGTTGCTGTGCTTCACATCGTCACCGTCAGCAGACCAGCAGACCGTTGCAGCCTGTTTGGGGGCCCAACTCGGAGCAATGAGCATCGCCTGAGGACCCTTCCTGGACCCTGATCCAGCCCCTTGCCCGTCCCTCATCCCTGCGGCGAGCATCCCGTCGAATGGCACCGTACCTCGCCCTGGACGACCGCCCCCCCGGCCTGCTCACTACGTAAGACCCCGAAGACCCCGATCGCTCCCCCGGGGCGGCCATGCCACCCGCATCGAGCCTTGAATGCGACATCGACCCGACGGCTCGCCCGGGGTTCAACCTACGACCGCTGATCACCACCACACTGCGCATAGTAAATCCGAAGCCGTTTCTTTATCGCTAGAACCTTCTAGCAGACGGTAATCACGATGCTTGGCATTGTTGCTGCGTGATTGCTCTCACATGCGCGAAGAGTAAGGACCCAGGTTTCAAGATCAGGCCAATGAGTTTGGAAATCAGGTTCGGAAATCAGGCTTCGGAAATCTCACGTCACGACGTAATTACGACTCAGACACCGCCCATCTGCATGACAGCGGCTTTCTGTTCTCAAGCACTTGTGCAGCACAAGCCCTGATGAGCCTCGTCGAAATAGAACGCCGCAACATGCCGAGGCATCAAACATTATAACGGATAACACAACTGGATGTATGCAACCAGCTGCTTCTCTAAATCCCATCTATCCTACGCGTCATCAACAAGCTTCATCCCCCCAATGACACCCTCGAACCCGCCCTCTCCAACCGTCGCCAGGGGAGCTTCCACCGCAATCGGCTGCCACACAAACCGCGCCCCGTTCCATCCCATGATCGTCAAGAACTCCATCCTATCCCCTCCAACGTCCAAAAATGTCTGCCTCCCCTGCCCAACGAGCTGTGCCTCCGTCCACTCCCCCACGGGGAACGTGTAGTTCAGCGCGTACGTGCTCTCCCCCGAGAACAACATGACCGCATCCACCGTCCCGTTGCCGAACCACAGCCCGCTGTCCCCACCGCTGAAGATGGCGCCTTTGGCCGCGCTGGTGGGCTTGATCGAGAACGAGAGGGTGTAATTCCGTCCCTTTTGCGTGAGCGGAGTCGTGATGCTGCACGACGGCGTCAACACAGCGCCCTCCTCACCCAGCGCGCACGACGATTCCGCATGGTACCCGTTGCCCGATAGATCCTGCACCGTGCTGCCGTTGCTCTGAGTGAAGTCATATTCCACAATCGTCTCTCCCACACTCGGAATCCTACGATCAAGATTCTGCCCCGGCGCAGCAGGCTGCAACTTCGCAAACAACCCCCCATACGCATCCTCCGCCACCGCCCCTCCCCACTGCTTATCCGCCAGCGCCGGCAGCCCATCCCTCCACTGGTAATACGCCTCCGTCACCGTCGTCGCGTTCGGCCCAAAGTCGTTCCACTGCGGTGCCACGTGCCCCAGCAGCGCCGCACTGTCCCGGGCCGCGTTATTCGTCGCGTTCTCCCGCTCGAACACGTTCGGCGCGAACGCGCTCCCGTCGGGCGACCCGTGGAAGATGAAGTCCAGGCTCAGCTCGTGGCCGTACCACTCGGACCACTTGCCGACGGTGTAGATGTAGTCGCCCGAGTTGAGCACCGCGTAGCCGTTGTTCACAAAATCCCAGAGCGGGTTGGCTTCGAAGTTGGCCCAGTGCTGGATCGAGACGGACTTATTCACGTCGCCGCCTGAGGAGGGGGAGAATGTGCCCCAGATGCGCACCTTTTTGCCGGAGGTGGTTGTGATGTAGTCGTTCATCGAGTCCACGAAGCGGGTGTACTCGCCAACCAGCGCCCTGCTCCCATCAGTAACACGCTCAGGAGAAAGGTTCACGGGATGACTTACTCCTCGCTCAAAGTCGGGTCAACGTACTCATCCGCCCCAATACTAACAGTCTTCGTGTGAAACCACGGCAAAAACACCCCCCAAATATCCTGCATAACCGGAATCGTCTCGGGGTTCGACACATTCAACAGACTCAAATCACTACTCAGCCCCAGACTCTCTCTCCACTGCGAGATCACCAGCGCGTGCCCTGGGGCCTCGATCTCAGGCAGAATCGTGACGCCCCTTGCGGCGCATTTCGCCTGGATGTCGTCGAAGACGGCGCGCGTGTAAGACTCGTTGGCGCGCTTGTTGAGGCCCGCGAGGGACGGGTCGTCGGAGAGCAGGCGGAAGGCGGCGTAGAGGGAGAGCTGGCGCTCGCGGGAGTAGATGGCGACGTTGTTGTAGAGGTTGTCGGAGAGGTGGAGCTGGAAGGTGTTTTGTTTGAAGAAGGACATGTAGGCGCACATTTCGATTAGGAAGGAGGGGGGGTAGTAGTGGCGGGCGATGTCGAGCTGGGAGGGGTTAGCATGTGGTTTTGTTGTCTTGATGACAGAGAGGATGACGAGGACAGAAGCCTTGATGAGAATAGTCAAGATTTAGAAGAAGGTGGGCATACAGGAGCACAAAGAGAATCGTGGGAATAATAGAAGAGGCGACAGAGACAATAGGTAGGGATTACAAGATTAGCAAAGGGCATGTGATGGAGGTAGGCAGAAGAAGATTTAGACATCCGCAGATTACCCCCATCCTAAGAAAACTCATCGGAAGACATAAACACCGGAAAAGACCGGATAACTCACCATCATCCCCCGCGTCCCCCATCCGGGGCTATCAACCCCGTACCCAAGCTCCACCGCCCCGGCGCCGAGGACCATCTGCTGCAGCACCGACCGGGTGCCCCACCACGCCCCGAGCGGACTCGCGCCGGCAATGCGGACGCCGTCGATGGTCACGTTCAGCGCATAGCCCTCCGATGTCTCTCTGCCCGCCGCATCCTTGAACTTGGACGCGTCTTCGTCGAGAGTGAGGAAGATGGAGCCTTGCTCTGCTGCGGACCCGGTCGTGACGGGGATGGAGAGGTTGAGCACGGAGGCGAGGTCTTCGGAGAATGTTTCGGCAAAGGAGCGGAGGGTGGGCGGGATGAGCGTCTCGCCTCTCTCGTCGACTGAATCTGCAAACTGCTCGTGCACGATGATTTTCGTGAAGAAGGTTGAGGGCAGAGTGCCGCCGGTGGTGGTGTACGGCACGGTCGGGAGACCGGGGAGCGCGTCCGCTGCGACGCGGAGGCCGAGCGTCAGCGCCGAAGCAAGAGCTGTCGTGAACCGCATCGTCACGAATGATGGATGCAATTCGCCAATGGCAATGTCTCAGTGACCACACCTTTCAGAGGTTGTCTACAGCTAGCTATGCAGGTATATAACCACGACTTTATCAAATCTCGATCACCAACTGACATCACACGATGGCTCCCCGACGCGCGGGGTAACCCCCGAATGAGGGGCGAGCCGAAATGAGGAGCTGTGCGATTGTAGAAGGTGACAGCCGCGGATCAACAGACCGGTTTTTACCCCTCAGGAACACCCATCGGTATCGTATCATTGAGCTGTAGTTAGCGTACCTTGCAGTTGTACTGTTCTGTGCAATTGTGATAGCAACGTTGCAATTTGCGTGGCATATCCGATTAACAGCGGCCTTGCTCTTTTTGCCGTGGTGTTCGCGCCGGCTGGGTGGGGTCTGCCGAGCTGCTACTGCGGAGCTTGAGAGGGGAGAAGATTGCCGGGGTTTGACGGACGATAAAGCTGGGGTAATTGGGATCTTTGGAACGTTGTAGATGGTGATTGAATGAATGGGTGATTTGATACGTTATGTTACGCTGGATATTGGTGTTTGTCATCCTGGCCAGATAGATTTACGAACTCGGTCCAAATGCTGATGATGATGGTTGACCCCGAACGATACATTCACGGCCATACCGCGTGTTATTCTACAACCCCACTCATGGGTTAGTATATCATTTGGCAAGATTACCGCTGCAGGTATCAAGATGCACTCCAACTAGACAATTGGCTTCCATGGTTAACCTACCGCTTAAGCCTGTTTCCCGGCCAAGTAAAACCTGGAGATGAAAAGAAAAGAAAAACAACCCGAGCAGATGATAACTTGGAGATGAATTGTTCCGCTCGTAAACAAACAAAGTCAAATGAGGACGGCCACTGGTTAATCCATCCCGCTCTATCCGTCTGCTGAATCAAGGCGTCCACTAAGATGCGGCTTCATGTCTCAAGTACTACATGTCTCAAGTAGTGAGGAGATCAGCCAGCCACACCTCTTCAACGTCACCTTGCTGGACTCTCCTTGATGAGTTTTTGAATGAAAGAGATCAAGCATACTTCCGAAGCCAGTAATCTCTACGAAGTGCTGTTGGCAACAACTAGCCCTCCGCTATTTAGGTTCTCAAAACCTTTCGATATTTTCACTGAGCTCGATATGTCCCCGCAACAGTTCGAAAGCCAGGCTCAAGCAGCCCGTGAGCTACAATCCCAAATCAACACGGCTGTTAGCCGGCTCAATTTCCCTGGTGGAATTGGCGTCGGTAGTGCCGAGGTTGCCAAAGGCATCAATAAGAGCGTCGATGCCAGTGCCGTCGATGCCAGTGCCGTCGATGCCAGTGCCTTCGACAAGCACAACCAGTCGGGCATCGTCGAGGTGCACGCTCACTTCGTTGCCACCAAAAGCGATGGGGCGAAGGCGTTTGAGCTGGAGGTTATCTGGGGTATTTCGTCCTTCCCATTTTGATACTCCCCTCGTGAGAAAAAAGTATGGTCAACTAACGCGAAGCCGATGGGGACAGATGCTGATAATCCGCCGGTGGGCAAGACGCAAACGGCGCACTTCGGCCTGGGAGATATACCTTGACGGAAAGAGTGTTGCTGGACCGGGACATGTCTTTTTCGCCCCGGGCGTCATCTTGACGAACTATCCGAACAACAAAAGAGACCAAGCGGAGGAGCTGTCCCTCAAATTGAGTACGACCGACGGCATCGGGACGGGCAAGATGCAGAGCACCACTAAATACTATCGGCTTCAATGAGCAGAAATGTACCGTACACTACAGGCTCTGCCATGGCGATCAACTATTCTGTTGTTACTTCGAGATAATGAGAAATCGTCAAAACACCTGGCGCACGAAACACCAGTACAATTTCAGCAGATCATTCTCTATTCCAATCATTGGCAATATTTACGTCGTGGGTTCTTCGTCAAACTTGCCTCGTTCGTAGTACATACATCGTATTGGCCTTTTGGAACCTTTCGTTCGAAACACAACCTGCGCTACGCGCGGCAACATGATCCAAAGCACATATCGGGATCTGCCAAGCATTCAAGCATTAGACCGGGACATTTGAGTATATTTCGAAGAACTGGACTTCTCACTCTTGCTGTCTGCTTGTACAGGTGACACAGACTCTACAACAGTAAAGGTGGCTGTGGTCGGCCAGAAGATAACGACCTTTTGATTGACGTTCCTATTATGCCTCCACTCTTAGTACACGCCACGAAATATTTATGCTTGAGAAAATTGTTTCGAGCAATCTAGACAAAGACTTACCCTACTGGTGCGGGCGCGGGCTTGGATGTGTCTGCAACGCGCTTGATCCAACGTAGCCACTGCCCCTGTGATTGTGGTGTCTCCTTCCCCTCTTCGTTTGAACCCTGGGCGATATCTTCATCGAATGATGAGATGGCTTGTCGATACGAAGGAGGGCTGGCCTGGGTACCATCGTACTCCTGAATTCTCGGGCGATATGGCGGGCAAGGTGTTCCAGTATCATGTCGTCCAAAGCTGTCTTCGTTCATACCGATAAACTGATCCATTTCAAGCGATAATCGAGGTCTTCAGCTCTTGGTATCAAGGAACTTTTACTTCGAGGGTTCGTGCGTAGTCCGGGAGCCTGCTTAAGTAGCAGGCTTACACACAAGGCATGACTTGCGTCGGCCAAATGACATCGCCGAAGGCATAGTTTCACCGAAGCATTATAGCAAGCACCACCTCCCCGGCACGAATGCCCGTTTCAAGTTCACGATTCATGTTGGTTTGAGGCAATCTTCGTGGCAATTATTCTCACTTCTTTATGTCGCCATTTTTATCATTACGTTACAAGATGCCTAGTACATGAGAAGGTAGACAAAACGTTTCGGCAATTCCTGTTTGATAGACCTGGCCCAGCTCTGTTGCAGTTAAGAGGAACAGTGGAGAGACCTTGGCATGATCTCTAACAACCTGACGCCATTTCTGAAGTAATTCTCTGGCTCGCGCGCCGCTTTCAGCATTAGGGGCCTGAACGAGTAACAACATGAAGAAATTGGAGGCCACTACTAGACTGAATTTAGACCCTGTGCTAGACGTTAATTCGGAACAAGCAACTCATAAATTACATCGTCGGAACTCACATAAGTACCAAAATTGACCAAAGTCGCTGGAGGTTAGACAGACTGTAAACTTGACTAGGGCTTCTGCCCAAGTCTGTGCCGCTTGATATAGCTCATTGATCGTTGCACTCGAATCTGAAGCGCCGTCCTCGAGCTGTGATTCCAGCTCTGGGAAATCAGAGAAATTCCAGCTGAGGTTCTCAAACAAAAACCCTGTATCTGGAAAGGTCTGAGGCTCGGCGTCGACATCGATGATCTGCGGGGGAGGGGCGGATCGGACTGTGGGCCGAAGCAATGCTCGCCACGTATACGCTATCAACGAAAGGTACGCGAGTGAGATGCAAGCAGGGTACGGATCCTGATTCTCGTTCAGTGAGATTCTTGACTCAGGAAATGTCTCTGGTATCGGGACGGAGGCCCGCCATTGATGTAAGGCATCGAATATTGGCCGCGCAGCTTGAATACAATCTGGTAGATTCTCCGCCAATATCTGGCACGACTTCAAAGAGCTGGTTTCATGTCAGGTTTTGAGCTCAAATAAAGGGGCATCGGCCTACTATAAGTCCGCTTGTAGTCTCTCTGCGATCAGTGATAGTCTGGCCAGGTCCCGAAATGGAGATGCCTTCGGAGCATCCGTCTCGTTCCATGGTAGAAAGTCAAAGTTGTCAAGCTCGCCGACATCCCATTCATCGTTCCGAATGTAAGGAGGCCGTCCTGTATGCAGAGAGAGGAACTTGTCTTGTATGAAGACTGCCCACCACAGTCTTCGGCGGAGTCGCTTCTCCTGAGCAGGAAGACCCATCATACGGCATTCCAAATGTAGGCCTAGATTATGTGCTAGTCCCACAACTGTTCCCATGAACGGCCAAATAGACGCCGTATCCGTAGAAGCAGACTGCCGCGGGCTCTCATGGTTCCTGTGAAGATACAAGATTGCAGCTTGAAGAACATGCAGATGGGGCTTGCAAATTTCCTCATTCATGCTTGCATAACATATCTCCCAGACTTCGTCCAGGCTGATGTGGTCACAAGCCAAAAGGCCTACCAGATGATCGTCTTGGTGGGCGAACGGGATAGCCGAGCTATACAGAGCGGCCAAAAGATGCGTCGATGTTTGTGTTAGGATGTCTGGTTGAGGGAGAGCATCCTCCGATGTCAAACCTATTGCCGTCCGAGAGACTACGGGAAGCATCTTAAAGACATACTTGTGAAATCTTGACGAGCACAAAGAGGGTTAATGATGGACCGGAGTTGGAGACATGATGTATCAAACGTACAGACGAACAAGCCGAGCCCCTGTGGACTGCGGCACCAAACAGTCCAGTCTCCTACGCAACTCCATGACCTTTGCTTCGGCAGTCGAACTTCGACACAGAGCGTCTGAGCTGAGCAGAAAGTGTACCGGTATCTTGTCTGCCGTCGGCACGCCACCAGCATTTCGGACATGCAACTTGTGGAAACTTCGCAAGCCCAGTTCATCGAATCGAAAGTGACGAAGCAGCCAGGGATCTGACCCTGAAGAGCTCCCGAGGAGCATTGCGCTGTGGCCGTCCATATTATCGAGAGTCTGAGAGATCTGAGTCGTAAGCCGGTCGGGCTGTCCACCAGTTGAAGGGGAAACATCGGCAGTCCGACTGAACGCGATGAAAGAGCGGTTTGGAGCAGGAGCAGCAGCCTCATCAAAGCCAGATACAGAAGTCGACTGGTCATTCGTAACGTTGGTGCCATCTCGTAGAGAAGACGAAGCGCGATCCAGTTGTCTCGGCGATGGGTTTTGTCTCGCACCCTGCCCCTGAGCCAGTGATCGCTTATGCGGTCTTCCAACGTAGGTGCATTCGGCATCACTCTGCTGACAGCGCCGACACGGTGGCTCGCCCTCTGTCTGGCATTTCAGCTTCATCTCTCGACAACGGTCGCATGGCCGATGCCGCTTTTGCGACCGGTAGGGTCGTGTCGTTTCGGCGACTGGGGTCGTTTTTCTCGGCGTTGGGGCCATGGTCGGTCAAATGAAGCACGGCGATGCTGCTCATGTGTAGAGACCAAATTGCTTTGATTTTGGCGATTTCGGCGAATGCTGATTATGAAGTAGTCCTGGTGGCATTGCTGGAATTTGCTCGAATGATGTCAAGTTCGGCGAAATGAGGGGAAGAAGCACGCGCTGCTCCGGCGAAAATTGGTCGTCGGCCAAACCAATTCGGCGAACTCTCCAGTGGCCGAAACTCAGTGTGAAAGGAAGCCGATTCGCCCATTTAATTGGAAGAGTGATGGATATGTCAAATAAAATATACGGATCTCTTGTAGCTAGGTCTCTATTCTCTCTCGTCGACTTTAAGTTCTGCGCATTTGTCTCCAGCAATAATATTAAAAGCCCACAAACCTCCAGATTTGGTCTTAGGTTTGCTTATCAACTGCATTTGCATCATGCCCATCCATTCAATTACACGGTTACTGCAAACCGGAAAGATGCAGGTTAGTCTCACACAATCTTTCTTCCCTTCTAAGTTTCTTCTTCGCAGTTTGCCGCCTGGAGGCGCACCTTGTTGACTGCCGTATGACTCTCACTTTAGTCTCACACAATCCCGCCTAATACATACCTCACGTCGACTGATGAGAAAACAGTCCAGCCATTCCCAAAAGACTGCCCAGCCAAAAGGCACTCACGAGCAGAATCGAACCAGGTCAGAAGCTCTCACCTCAGACCTCGAGCTTACTGATGACTCCCTAGAGGAGGTCTATCCGGAAGGCGGCATGGCTGCATATTTGGTTGTTTTTGGAGGTTTCTGCGCCATCATGGGCGGCCTAGGCCTCATGAACAGCATTGGCATCTACCAATCTTGGATTGCCACCCACCAACTTCATGACGTCGATGAAGGAAAGCTTGCCTGGATATTTGGCCTCTTCAATTTCATGGTCTTCTTCTGTGGCATACAGATCGGCCCTGTTTTCGATGTTCACGGACCAACATGGCTCATGGCTGCAAGCGTTGTGCTGTACGTGGCAGTCTTTGTCTCCATTGGGTTCTGCGAGGAGTACTGGCACTTTCTGGTTGTCATTGGTCTTGTTGCAGGTTCGGCGACATCCATCATATTTGTCGTGCCTGTTGCGACGGTGGGGCAGTACTTTCAAGTCAAGCGCGGAGCAGCAACTGGTCTGGCCATGGCTGGCGGCAGTCTTGGAGGCGTCATGTTCCCCCTCGTATTCGACAACTTGAGCGAGAGAATCGATTTCGCGTGGGTAACGCGTTCGATCGGGCTGATAACTGTTGTTCTTTTGATGGTTGGCTGCCTTTTTGTACGCCCGCGGAAATCTTTCCGCGATACTCTGCCATTGAACAGAAGTATCCTGCCAGACTTTCGCATCTTATTACAACACAATGTGCTCTTGATGACCATAGGAGTCTTTTACATCGAGTGGGGATTCTTCATTGGACTGGAATACGTTGCATCGTATTCCCTTGCCAACGGAATCAGCAAGAGGCTGTCATTTCTCATGATCGTGTTCCTCAACGCCGGTTCCGTCTCAGGCAGGTGGTTGCCTGGATTTTTCGCTGACAGATTCGGCCGGATGAACACCATGATCGCAACAAATGTACTTTGCACGATCGCCATCTTGGGCCTATGGTTGCCAGCAAAAGGCAATGTTGCCGCCGTCATAGCCTTCTATGTGGTCTTTGGTTTTGCAAGCGGAAGCAACGTCAGCCTGGTACCTGTTTGCGTGGGCGAGTATTGTTCCACTCAAGATTATGGGCGATATTATTCCACTGTGTACACTATTATTAGTTTTGGGTAAGTTATTTCCGCTGTAAGACTTCGATGAGCTGCGTTGCTGACACTCACAGGGCATTGACTGGTGTGCCTATAGCTGGAGCGATTCTTGAGAAATCGCATGGTTCTTATTTTGGACTAATAGTCTTCGCTGGGTTCTCGTATGTTGCTGGAACTGCTTGCTTCGTTGGACTCGCTGTCTTGCACCGCCAGTCCTCTTGAGACCAACGAGTCTCTTTCAGGCGATTGCTGTGGGGAATCCATATTACCCAATGATCCCGTATGTTGAACTTGGAGGAAGCAACGTTGGGACGTCAGCCGAGACCTCGTCTAGAAGTGGGCTGGAATATTAATGGACAGGTTCTCAAATGACTCTTTAGTACTCCGGCTCCATATCTCAAGGGTTTTTTTCACTCGTGCATCGATTTCGATATTTGGAACAAAACCTAGCAACAAAAATGCGAGGAAGCTAGAATCTGGTGATCACCTAGAAGTTGTAGGTCGGCATGGTATTGCTCAACGACGGTCCATCACAAGACTCAGCGATCTTTCAAGGAGATTCAACAAATCAACATAACCACCCAGCTTGGAAAGCCTTTTGAAGAAGCGGGTGAAGCAAAGCTCAGCAATATTTCCGCCCCAGCCTGCGCAGCCTGATCTTGGTCATGAGATGCCATGCAGCTGTGGAGAAGCTGCATGTAATGCCTCAACTTGCTCGTCGTTGATTCGCTTCTACCTTGTCCAACCCCATTTATCTCGCCAAGACATAAGCAGACCTTTACTGTGGTTGTCACTAACAACCGCTCTTTTTGGATCAAAGAATCCAGGGTGTGCATATTTTATGCGCCCATTTCCCGCAAATCAGCTTCCTTTATTTGCCTTGTAATCTGAAGCGGAATTCAAGCCGTGAATTCTTTTGTTCTGCCTTGTCCTTCCAGCACCCAACCGCCGAGCGGGGTTTTGGTCTTACGAACGGCCATCCTTACTCTGAATATCTTCAAGCCTCCGGCTTCCATGCCTGCTCGAAAGTTTGCCACTACGAACGACATCTTTCAGACCGTCCCTTCCTACATCTACGCGACGAGAGTGCTAGTCAGCCAGCTTAAGGAGAAGTGCGGTGGCTGTACATCCAAGCACGAAATCCGAGGTCCGGCAGCCTTCGTAGTCTGAGGGAATATGTGGCTCATTCATACCACTCTCTTGACGCTCATGGGGTTTCAAGGCGATCCCCAAGAAGACTATGCGATTTTGTCCCATACATGGGGCGAAGACAAAGTAACGTTCGCCGACTTTCGGGAATACGGGGCCGCGACAGAGTACCAGGCACGTCCGACCGGGGATGTGCCGAATGACAGCCCAGCCAGGCAGAAAGTCTTAGCCTCGTCGGGCTACGCGAAGATCAAGAAGGCAGCGGAACTCGCAAGAAGTCACTATCTTCGCTTCTTGTGGGTCGACACCTGCTGCATCGACAAAACTAGCAGTGCGGAGCTATCTGAGTCCATTAATTCAATGTACCGCTGGTACCGCAACGCTAGATTCTGCATTGCCTACCTCTCCGACGTAGAAGCGGCAACTCTAAGTGAGCTTTCTACTCATGACTCCAACTTTCGGCGCAGTCGCTGGTTCACAAGAGGTTGGACGCTACAGGAGCTTGTGGCCCCGAAAACAGTCATGTTCTATGCCAAAGACTGGTCCTACCTAATGGTGAAAGAACCAGTGCCCAGCAGCCAGGCATCATGCACTCTCCTAGCAGAGATCACAGGCATCAACCGGCACGTTCTACTTGGCACAACGTCACTGAGTGACATCAGCGTGGCAAATCGAATGAGGTGGGCTTCTTTTCGGAAGACGACACGCTCAGAAGACATGGCATACTGTCTTCTCGGACTCTTCAACGTCAATATGCCCCTCCTCTACGGCGAAGGGGACAGAGCATTTGTCCGACTTCAAGAGGAAATCTTGAAGGAGACTGATGATCAGTCATTGTTCTTATGGGCTTTATCGCCCAAGGAAAGAACAAGCTCGGATGACCTTTGTGGTCTTCTCGCTCATTCCACGCGGCTCTTTTCAATCGTAGACTTCGACTACGTCCGCCCGCTTCCTCCTACCCGATCACAGGAAAGCGCACATGTTAGCATAACTAATCAGGGACTCAGATTACCAACATCTATGGGGAGCTTGCATTGCACCGAGCCGCAGCAACGGGAAATATGGAAGAGGCCTTTGATGCTATGTGGTCCGCAAATAATGCATCCTTGGACTCTGACGCTCCATCACCCCTTGCGGAGGATACATCTGGCCGTTCCTTAGCTTTTCACGCAGCTTGCGGCGGAAACGCGTCCGCCATCCGCAAACTCGCGCGTTTGGGTGCCTCAATACATTCCGTAGACAAATGCGGAAGAGGACCAATTCATGCAGCCGTCATGGCTGGACAAGCTTCCGCAGTCGGGGCTCTACTCGATATGGGAGTAGACCCGGACAGCGTTACAAGCATCCACGGTCTAACCCCTCTTCATCTAGCTTGTCTGTACGGTTTTGAAGGTTGCGTAGAAGAGCTCCTCCGGCCTCACAGAATGGAGCATTATCATGAAGCAACTGTGGATAAGTTCTCAGCCGGTGACGCGCATGGTGATGGGGGCTTCCAAGCAATACATGTGGCTATCGGCAACGGGCACGCGGGATGCGTGGCTAAGCTGCTCCAGTCTGGCTGTCAACTACATCAGTCTGTCGAGGGCTATGTAAAACTCAGAGATTCGAAGCCGGGAAGTTTCAAGAAAGGAAACTTAGTGGTGTTTGAAACGCCACTGAAGGCACTGGAGATTGCGGTAGTTCTGGAAAAGACCGAGATATCTTCGCAGATCGACGCAAAGATGGAATTGAGTTCGTCAAACTCACTCAAGCAAAGAATCGAGACGCTCTTGAGTCACAACTAATGGCAGCTCAGGTGGAGCAGATGCACGAGCTGAAGCAAATAAGATGTAGAACCTTCCAGTGGCAACTGCCAAGGTCTCTACTAAAAGTATGACTAGGTGGCGTGGCTTTACGTTAGTCATATACAGAAACGACTATTGCAGTTTGATTACCTATAGTGTCCTGGACAAAACTCGCAGATATAAATGCCGACGAAGCTGGTGCAGGATTTTTGACAGACAGAAACATCCAATTATCCTATCTGCAATCAAAAACGAACGGCCACGGCATGTTATCTCTATATCGCCAGAAGCCCGAGGACCATATCACGATGGTCTCGAATTTGTTCTTGGGTCAATGACTAGTTTTCGCCACCCATGTATCACATCATCAATGTCAGTACTGTCTACGTAAGCTCTTCTGAAACCTGTTGTGCCCACGAACCACACTCGCTGTTAGGGATGTCTTTAAAATCGCACTGCCCTATGGCTTCCTCGACGCCCAAATCAAGCATCTGGTTGATCCACGCCGGTATAGTCTCCATATCTGGCGCATGCTGACTTGGCAATTTGCTCAGGAGTTGAGTCAAGGTTTGAGCTCCTACCTGAGCCATATTGCTCACTTCCGCAAGCATTCGCAGACGTGCAAGCGCGTCGTCAACCGCGCGCAAGCATTGGTCCCGAGATACGTGAGCCTTCCCAGGCCCGAGAGGATCTATCCTGAGCGTGGTGAGAGGGCCATCCTCGCTCTTGCCCGGAAAGTCGACATCCGTACAGAGGCCGACAAGCAGAACGGCAGCTTCAAATGTTGGGAAGATAATGCCCACGAACCGTGTGTGGCAGCCGCCTAGTATGGTGTGCAACTTAGAGACACTTTCCAGTACCCTCAATGCTGCCACGGCCAGAACCCTTCTCTGACACGATAGAAGAACTCGCTTATATATTGGAAGCCTATTTAGACAGGCTGGGTTTTGAAGCAGTACCGGACGAAAATTGCAGCAGAGCGACTCGAAAATGGTGGTATGCAGGTTTTGCCTCTGTAGAGGCAGCATAGGAAGACGCTCGTCCCATTGCGTGTTGGAGTCCAGAGCGAAGGCTGGCGGCAAAGTTGTGAGAAATCCGTTGCAAAACTTCTCGTATGTTGCTTCGGCCACGGTCGCGTCATACTCTCGCCTTGGCAAGAAGTCTCTCCAAAAGGACGCCAGACGGGCTTGGATCAAACGTTCTGAGAACTCTCCAGGGGCGTCGGCGTCGTCAACGTTTGGACCTAGGTGCATCCGTGGAAGGTTTTCGTCGGTCAAACCCGAGGGCAAGAAAGGGGACATGTCAAGTTGTCTCGAGAAAAGGCTGAGTAAACGTTAGCTATGGGTGACCAAATATGAGCCGTCGAGGTGAGCGTGGTACCTGTCCCATATGAAAAGGTTGCAGTACACCCTGCGACGCATTTCCTTGTCTAACTCATTCATTCCCATAATTATTGCCGCAGGCTTTCTATCAAGTCCAATCCTGTGTGCGACTCGAACCGCGTCGCCAAACGCTTCCCAAAACATCTTATTTCTCCCTTCGCACTGGTACCGTAATCCCGAAAAGAGCAGATGCTGCACGCGTAGAAGAGAGCCCTTCCCGTCGAGTCGAATGCAGATTGCAGTGAGCTTGTCGGCGACATCGTTGATTGAGTCTCGAATGTCCGTCAGGGACATGCCTCTGATCTTGTCGATAGTGTAAGACGGCGAGGGGAGAAACTGCAAAGCGTGAAAACACATCCTCAGGAGCAGCACTGCGAACTCGACGTCAAGTGTTGATGACGGCCGTTCTGAGTTCCACCATACTTGGTACTGTGCCAAGAACCAAGGTGGGTGCACAAGTTGTTCCATCCTACAAGAGTTGCAATTGTTAGTCGGTTTTCCAGGTTATTACTAGCTGGCAGCCCCGCGATACGAACCAGTGGATTTCCATCACATAGTATTGCACGAGAAAGTCAAGAATCTGACGATCGGGCATTCTTTCCGTTTGATCTTCAACTTCTTCCAACGATTCTAAAGGGATAGGCGCACATTGTCTATCTCGGATTCGGTGATTTCTCAGCCCTAACTATGTGCAGCTGTCAAAAATGATACGTCACGAATGGTGAATGAGCCAAGAATGTCGCGGGGAGCTTAAGCATGTAATGACAGAAGGGGGAGAAACTGCACTGACCCCACAGACCACAGCCATAGTATTAGACTCGCTGTCCTCAAAATATCCAGACACTTCGGCTATCGAATCCGCCACGTCAATCCTGCTCTCCTGGTCTGTGATACTCCGAGCAGAACCGCTGCTATAGTCTTGTTGAATGCGGGCATCATGTGCTGTAGGAGCATCTTCGTTTTGGCGAGCCTCCGTTTGAATTGGTGAAGTATTGGCTTGCAGTGCCTGCGAATTGTAATAAGCGCACTCCTCGGGTCGCCTGCGCCGAGCGCAATGATAGCATGGATAACGACGATTGCACTACGCGGGCACACGAGTTAGGACTGATGAACGATGTCTCACTCCAAGAAGTTGTGGGCAAATCTCCAGACCTTCTGCTTCCTAGTGTAACATGGAACACAGGATGATACAACACGCTTTCGGCCAGGCTTTTGCATGTCCGATGTTTCTGGCTCGGATCTAGAAGCAATGCGGAAAGCATCCATTTGATTTGACTTTCATCTAGTTTCCTGGGCGAAGACAAGAGCTGTAATACGGCAAAAGTGATGGAGGGTTTTATCATCAGCTTATCCATCGAGCTTTGTGGTCGGCGACTGGCCAGATAGAGCCCGGAACGAACTATTGGAGACAGTGACGAGAGCTTGTATTGTTCTTCAGCTGCCTTGCAACACTCAAAGTTCCTATCTGCAGCTTACATACATGCCTGTCATACCAGCATACGAAGTATTTCGTCTCAAGGCTCGCTGGGCGAATTCGTCTTTATGTCTTGACATGAGGTTATTCTCATTTTGTAAAGTGTATCATCGCGCCTACCATAGCCACCCCTCCCCCTACCCCCTAATCCTAAAGGACTAGGGTCTTTTACCTTTGTGGCGGAACTAATGCGACGATTCTCCGGGCCCGGTCCGTCGTCAAACTAGGATCTAGCCGTGCTTCGTTCTACATGCCGTGCTGCATCGGTTCGATTACGCAGCCGTCTCTTACAGGAATGGCGCGGGCGTTGGAGGGACTTCCATCAAGGGTTGCCGTGGGGGATGATAAGCGAAGTTGATGGCCCCGGTAAGCAGACGAGTCCCCCGGACTGAACGGACAGGCATGCAGAAATCCTGGGATATTTCTGACTGCAGTGTTTCGGCCCTGGTGGCGACAAATAAATCAGCGTCAAGTGCCATCAATCATTGGTCACGGCGTTTCTTTCATAACAGATATCCGTCGCGGAGAGATGAGTTAGGAGTGAAGGGTAACAATCATACGAGAACGGTCTTGCAGCAAGCCTCGGCAAAGTACACTTTCATGACTCACGTATCCCAGCTATGAGCGTTCAATGTACCTCCTTGTCAGTCCCGGTTGCTGACTCGCATATCTATCTCGTGCGTTCCGATGATGCTACGTGACGATCCAGGGTCCTCATGGTCGGCCGATATTTTTCGCCCGAGAATCATCGGCTTAGGTACGGCACCTTACCATTAGCCTGCGACTGTGACAGCACCACGAGTTATTTCATGTCCATCTAAAGATCAGGAATACTTAGGGCTCAATCTTGCGATGAGGTCTATAGAGCATGAAAATGACAGAGGTTGGGTCTCACTCATAGTGTTGTCGCATGAATAAATAAAGCCGAGCTCTCAGATCTTCATTTTGTATCAACAAACGCTATCAACCATATCTTTCTTTGTATTTGGTGTGCTGTACATCACCATGGCTCTTTCAGATGCGATCCAACTTCTCGGACGCGGGCTGCTGTCAACGCCACTCGGCCTTCTTGCCGTACTCGGAGTCCTTTATCTCTTATACAAACGGTTGCTATTACCCCGGCCCCTCCCGGGTATTCCGTACAATCCGGAGTCAGCCCACAAAATCCTGGGGGATGCCCCAGACATGCTGCGGGAGGTCAGCGTCACTAGAGAGCTCAACGTGTGGCTACTCAAGCAGGTGAACACCCTGCAGACACCCCTATCCCAGGTGTTTGTGGATCCCTTTTCGAAGCCCTGGGTACTTCTCGCCGACGCCATCGAAGCCCAGGATGTCATGATGCGGCGGCCCGAGTTTGACCGGTCGGACTTTATCACCGACGGGCTGGGCCCGGTGGGCGCCTTCCATGCCCGGATGAAGAGGGGCCAGACTTGGAAGCAAACAAGAGCCTGGCTGCAGGATCTCATGAGCCCCAGCTTTCTGAATGGGACGGTCGGCCCCGTCATGTACGACAATGCGCTTCATCTTGTCCACTTCTGGGAGATGAAAGCTCGCTTGGGCAGTGGGCGACCGTTTGACGTCAACGAGGATCTGAATCACAACGCTCTCGATAGCATGCTATCCTTCGTGTTTGACGAACACTTTGAGCACACTGCTCTGGGTCCCCAGTTCAAGGCTCTCTCTCAGCTACACCCCTCAAGCATCAAGATCGGACCAGACGGAGAGGCCGAATTCCCCGAGGCACCAGTTCATAAGTTCATTTCTGCACTTTATCAAACGGTTGAAGGCATCGATGAAGTAACGAAGTCTATGCTCCCATGTCTGAAGACGTGGTGGATCAACCAGACACTGAAGTTCAGGAAGCTAGTAGCAGGGAAGAGACAAGTTATGCGAGAGCAAATCCAAGGCTCTCTTAGGAGGTTAGATGAGACGGGAGAAGCTAAGACGGCAGTGGAATATATATTGATGCGTGAGAAGAGAACTGCAGAAAAGGAGGGCCACAAACAACCTGAGTTTAAGAGTCTAATTTTAATAGATGAGGTAAGATGAAAGAGTGTCCTCAAACACTATGGTTTGAAAGCCTGTTGATATCAGGTGCTGATATGGAGAACAGATTGCAGGGCAGTTTATAGCTAGCTTACATATAACCAGCACAACACTCGCCTGGATATTTATCTACTTGACTTAACTCCTGGAAATCTAAGCCAAGCTGTAGCGGGGGCTGCATACAGCCTACGCTAATGCGCACAACCAATCTCAGACGCCCACGTTAGCTGAACTGAACAAGATGTGGGTGCCCTATCTTGAAGCTGTGCTGGAGGAGGCACTCCAGCTGCATGCCACCAGCGTAGCACAGCAGGCAACCCGCAACACAGAGGTATTCAGCCATCGCATCCCTAAGGGCACGAATGTAGTCATGGTCGCCAACAGGCTGGGATTCCATGCGCCATCCTTTGACGTGGACCCCAGCTGGCGTAATGCGACAGCAAAGACGACAGTAGGCTGGGATGAGGGGTGAGATATGAAGGCGTTCGACCTAGAGCGATGGCTCACACGCGGGGAAGTTGATGGAGCTGTGGAGTTCAACGCAAACGCAGCACCACAAATCGCCTTTGGTATGGGTCCTCGCAGCTGTTGGGGTCGCCGACTGGTGTATCTAGAACTGCGCATAGTTACAACTCTTATGGTGTGGATATTTAACCTGCTGGAGGTCAGCCCATCGCTTGCCGATCCTAAGGCTAGTTATAGGATAGTCCACAGAGCGGATTAGTGCTTTTTGAGACTTAGACCCTAGGTGAACATTCAGAAGAATGAGGAGTAAACATGGTTGAGATTATTGAGATGTTACTTGGTGCCTCTTGTCCGCGTATAAATTTGAATGTTTCTTCCATATTCGTTTTGTTATCAGCTGGGGAAGAATATAACCTCCAGGGCAAAATACTATTTATGCATATGCACATAGTCAACAGAGATCCCAAGTTCTTACCGCGTGGAGGTTACTTAACTACTTATTGGTTGGAGACCGATGGGATGGATCAAATCCTTGCCTCAATCCAGGGTTATAACATTTCTTCTTTCCCTTTAAAGCAAAAGCTGGCAGTCAAGTCGTCTGACACGCCCCATTATTTAGACTCTATACGCCACGTAAAGTTTTGCAAGGGATTTAGAGAATCTGCATTGCCACAGGGTTTCCTGCAGCCGTGGACCGTGGTGACTCTAATCCGCCTGAGGGCAAGAGGTCGCAAAGATGTTGCATCGAACAGGATACATTTACTTTGAGCGCGAGCCCTGGAAGCTGGAAGGCTGTATTCGGAAGCATTATCTTAGGAATCCAAGCGGTGGAATCTGATTTGACGTTTAGTCTCCACCCATCTCATGACGTGCTCCCCAGTGACGAGGTCGCGATCAGCGAGTGTATAGTATTTCGCGAAATATGCTCCGAAGCAATCTTTGTCAAAATCGACACGCGTCTCGAAAAGGCCTTGATCTGCGTTACGAGTAGAGCTCAGTGCGGTACGGTGAGCGATGTCAGAAGGCTCTCGAAAGGAAGTGGAGGGGCGAGAAGTCATATCCTTCAAGCCAATGGTCTGATGAATTATCCAACTATGGTCTAGACTAATGATACAATGAAGGTCCCTTTATCCCTTCGACGGCATGGGCCGGTCATGTCGCTTCCTGCAGAGACCACGTTTGTCATGATGTCTGTACTGAGCTGGGTTGCTGGGTCGAAAGGAAGAATTGGCAATGACAAAAGCCCACCTTCCTCGATAAGTAAGAGATCTCGAGAAAGGACAGGCAGCCTGAAAAAGCAAAGTCTTGAGTCATCTACTCGAAGAAGACAATGTTGACGAGCACCTCTCAGGCGGCAGCAATGCCAGTGCTTGCCCCAAAGAGTCTCTCACGCCGCATGATGAGACTCAGAATAGCGGTGAGCCCTCCGGCGGCAATGACCAGCGTGTATGTCTGATCTATGGCTTTGACGATAGCATCGAGAACCCGGGTCCTGAGCTCTGCAGAGAGACCACGCACAAGGCTTGAGCGGGCACCCAGGATTGCAGCTTGAATATCAGCTGAGGGTGTGTTGGGCAAGATTTGTTCAATCTTATCTTGGCTGGAGTTGAGGAGGATGGCGTTGGCGATGGCCAAGGAGAGGGTGATTCCCACGAATTGGGCCAGAGTGATGAATCCGATGGCTGGAGGGATATCAAGCGGCTTCACAACCGTTTGAACGACGGAGAAGGAAGCTTGTAGAAACATGCCCACTCCAGCGCCGATGATCACCGTGTAATCATACACGCGGCTTGTGGGCGTGTCTTGCTCCACTGTGTACATGAGAGCGCCTCCCACTACAACTAGAAGGCCGCCCACCAGGTACCATGGCATATAATATCCCAGCTTAGGCATCAGAGCGCCGTTGCTGAAGACAATAACTACCATCACGACAATGAAGGGAAGCAGCCGGACACCGGCATCCAATGGGCCGTCATTGCGGGTAAACTGGAAGAAAATGGGTACCATGTAGATGGGCACGAATGAGCCTGCACCACCGGTAGCGCAGACTACAAACAGGATGAGGACAGAACGAGAGCGGAAGAACTGAATGGGGATGGTGCGCCGATCGGGTGTGGTGAAGATGTTGAAAACTTGCTGAATACCGAGTATGATGAATAAGGCCCCGGTAACAACAAACAACGCAATGATGCGGCCAGAGTCCCATGGATACACAACACCGCCCAAGTTGACTGCCAGGATCAAGGCGGTGAGTGCCCCGGCTTGGAGAGTGAAACCGGCATAGTCCACCTCGGCAAAACGAGAGCGAAGCGACGCGCCGGGGCGAGGGTCTTTACTCGGGATCAAGAAGATGTAGAAGGGTGCGCACACGGCGCCGATAAAAAGGTTGATGTAAAAGGCCCAGCGCCAACCCACTGAAGATTCGCTGAAGGCGCCGCCGATGACGGGGCCGAGAACGATGCCGAGACCCCAGGTGAGACCGGTGCTGGAGACATATAGCGGGCGCTCGGCCATGGTAGTGGTGGTAGAAATGAGTGTCATGCAGCCGACATACAATCCCGAACCGCCAGCTCCAGCGATGGCGCGGCCCAGAATCATTACATCCATGGTCGGCGCAGCGCCGCATATGACAGAGCCAACCTCAAAAAGAACAACGTGGAAAATGTAGAGCCACTTTGGGTTGAACTGGCTGTACAAGCGGCCCCAAGCCAGATTGGTGGCAGTTGCGGTGAGAAGAAAGGCAACGCTGAGCCATGAGAGTTTCTGAATGTTGCCAAACTCCAATATGATGACTGGCTGTAGGTCGGCAACCACGGTGTTGTCTAGAGCGTAGATGAAGGTAGAAAGCAAGATTGAAATGATGGTAAGATACCATTTTCAACCGTTGATATCACGCGGAGGAGCCTCCGGTTGCAAAGTGGTCTCGGAGCTGTCTGGCGCTTCTTGTGATTGCTTCTCTTCATCTTTTGAGCCGTTTTCTGCCGGACTCGTTGAACCTTCCTTGGACGTGGTGATGTCACCCAGGCTGGTGTCGCCCGAGCTGTCCTTCCCTTCGTCAATCACTGCCATTGAAGTGTTTTGACGGATAAAGTGTGAACCGTGACTACCAGATGAAAGAAACGTGAAGGAATGAAGTATGATGTCGTGAGTTGATGAGTAAAGAGTGGTAGAAAAGAATTGAAGGTCTATTTATCCTAATTTCTCGACTACATCTTGGGTATTGATGTCTTGAAGTCGTAGATATTAATAAGGTTTTTGATGAAGCTTTCATCAAAATGGCCCTTACTGGCCTTGAATTATCCCGATGCCCATCTTGTCAACAGTCAACACACGGCTGATCGACGCTACGGCACTTTCAGCAATCTCAGACAGGCTTGGTCAGATTTGTAAAGTCGGGATTGAATTCGGCCGGTTGACAGGGGGGAAGTAGACGAATGGTTTGCGTCCCCGACTCTTTCAATTAAACATCAGGTGGTTCTAGGGCCGGCCCGCGTCGCCATATGCGTCCCTCGGCCGTTGGTTCGCCGATGAACGGGGTGGTATTCAAGGGAGGTAGCAGTGCATCTTACCACGCCTTATCAAAGCAAGCATAGGGGTGGGGTGGGGAGAACGGCTGTTGGCCGTGGGAGACAGCGGTATGCATCCGGTGAAAGTTTAAATTCAGACCCCTAATGATTGAACGCAAGGGGCTGTTGGTATTCGACGCGACACTTTCCTGAACGAGACTGACTGGGATGTGGATTGTAGCCTGGCTCTATGTCACAGCGGCATGGCAGCCATCCCAATGCGACATGAGATGCCTTTTCAGTCTGTTTACACGTTCGGAGTATCATCGGAGCTGAATGCAGAACCCCGGGATGCCTTCCAAGACTGAGCCACCTGTATCCTCTACATGATTATCGCCAGGGCACACAGATGCGGGATCTCATCACAAAGTGCTCTACTGTGAATTTATACTCTTTGAACTCAGTGTCCTTACTCGTTCGTGTGCCTGATGAGACTTGTCTATGCCCAATTTGATTCAAAGTAGTTTAGAGTGCATGAAGCAGCGGCTTTCTCAGCTCGATACGAGAGCTTTTGTCTCTATTTTCACGCCTCGTCTACTCCATGCCCGGCTTCCATGACACTTTGAATTCAGCGGCGTAAGTGCGCCTCCACCAAGCCCATCAACCCCTCTGGACGAACAGAACGGATCTCATATCTCTCATCCGCCTGCTTTAGCAGAACCTCGAACTCATCCGCAGTACGCAGTTTACCACCAAAGCCCACCAGCATGATTAAATCAATCTGGCGCATTCCACGCTCCACGTCGCGCTTAAGCACGCCGTGCTCTGGCAAGATCATGTCGTTGATAAGCAACGGCGTGCCGGGTTTGGAGCGCTCGAGACCCGGGACGAGGGCGCGGAACATGTCAACGACTCGGGCATCACACCAGTTAAGCGCACACGCACGCAAAATGAAGGCCGCGGCATCGGCAACAGGCTGCGGGTCGAAGAAGCTGTGCTGCATGAAGGTGACGCGGCCGCGAGTGTCGTCGGTGAGGAGTGATTGACCTGCTACGTGCATGTCGGCTGAGTCTTGGACGATGAAATTGAGGTTGGGGAAGCTCTGTATGAAAGAGTGAGAAAAGATGTTCACGAAAATTAGGGAGAGTGTGAGAATTTCTTTCTTACCTTTGCTAAAGTAATGGAGACCTTGCCGCTGCCACCACCGACATCGACGACGGTCCCGTTCAGATTGCCCCATGGGAAGGAGTCTTTCAGAGCATCAATGTTGAGGTTCACTTTTACGCGTTAGTCTAGGGTATCCCATTGTGATCAGATAAGCCCCAGGTCTGGGAGCAAAGAAGCGGCGCATAACACTGATAGGAAGGGAAAGGGGCTCTACAATTTGCCCAGCCTGCCATGGCTTTGGCAAAACGGATGGAACGCTGGGTATCCTTCTCGTAGAAATTGAAAATCGGAAGACCATGTCTCGTGGTGAACGGGGTGACGGCACTATCATAGCTCTTGGGTGATACCTTGACATTGTCAGCGGTTGCGGTGGCCGCTTTGAACATCTCGTCAAGTCTGCTCGAAGCATTTAGTATACCGCATTTGTAGGCGTTCCATCATAAGATTGGTGACATACGTGTAATGAAGCGTTGCACGAATCTCTTCGTCCTTGTGCAAAAGGTACGAGCTGGGATTGTGCGCGACATATCCAGGCTTTGGCTCTCGGAAGATGGACTCGGTAGCGAGGAGGCGAACAATGCGGGTCGTTCTGTCGAGATCAACGCCAGCCCGCTCGGCCAATTCTTCCAGTGAGATCTTTCCCTCGGCAGGGACGATACTGAAGAAGTTAAAGTCGAGGGCCACTGAGACTGCAGCGAGCTCGTATCCTTGACAGGCGAGGTTCCGGAAGTGTCGCTTCGGGCCCTCGACCAGATACTGGAGGTCTTCCAGGGATCGCTTCAGCTCTCCCTGAAGCTTGGCGTAGTCGAGGGTCTCAGGGCGGTCGGTGTCATTGGCTGCCAAAGAAGGCTGCTCAAGATTATTGGCGTTCAAGTACTTGACAATGCACTGGGTTTGTTGGACGATATCCTCGGCGACGGCGAGGAGTCCGCTAGCGTGAGCGCCGTTACTTTGCGATGGCATGATGAAATCAGGGCAAGCTGTCTTCAAACTAGAAGGCCAGTATTGATCTTGGATACTGATCATCTATCAATGCCTAAAGACTAACAAGCATAATACCTTTATAGCTTACATGTTGACTTCGCATACAGCATCAAACTAGCTGGTTGGGACAAGTGCAAAGCCGTCTCGGTCGGGACTTCTTGTGGCTTCGGGCGTCATGCCGTTTCGATAATTTCTGAGTCAATGCCCAGCCGGAGAGCCAAGTAACTTTACACCATTGGAATGCACGTGGCCATGCAATGCCCGTTTTTTGCGCAAATAATATTTTATCATTTGGGCTGACAAGAGGGGTATCGTAAACTGCGCCGCTTGTTGGCGTTGGCTGTCAAGGGAAGCTTGCGATACATCAGATTCGTTATCCCTCGGAAAGCTAAAGTGATGTAGGATTGTCAAAGATAACGAAACGGCTGGGCAACATAGTTCCATGGACGCCGTTGGCATGCAGCTAGAAACCCACAGCATCGCAACCAACGTAGGCCGATGTTTCGCGGGCAAAATCTGAACGACTGCGCTCCCCATCTCAAGCCCCACTATGGATGTAGCAATTCGTTGGTTTCTGATCAGTCGATAGGTATTACCAACCAACAACCGGATAATGTAAGTTTCGGGCATAGTTGCTTATATCGTACAAACGGCCGATATTTCACGGCTCATTTTGTAGCAACGCGCGTATCCATACCTTGCTACGAATCTGCCCGCGTTATGTCATTTTGTTTTCGTGACGCACGCGCCCGGCCGAGTGAACGGCCGACGAGGAATTGTGATGTGAGATTGCGGCGAAGTGCGTCCGTTTGACGATCTTCGTCGAAGCCCCGGCGATACACTTCACTGTGCGGCAACGAGGACTCTCGTGTTGGCTCAAAGGAACTATCTCGTTAGCCGCCGGTGCCGCCTGCGGGGTGCTCTTTAAAAAGATCCTGAAAAGCATGGAGCCTCAGGTTCAATGGACTATTAGTCGTGGATGTCATTTTCAATGTTCATGTGCCCAACTCTTACACCTCTGCAATACATCAGATCAATCCCAACGACAAGCGGGACATCAGCGCCTGAATTGAGGGCCATTTGTCAACGTGTGACATAGTCAACAGCATCTGAGTGTCTTCTGGCTATCAAAAAGACAAATATACAACGGCAATCAAAGATACTCTACCTAGACTTGCAACACGTACCGACATGAGTGAGACGCGTCAACCAGAGCCGGTAGCCATCGTGGGAATGGGTAAGTCCCTCTAATCACCTTTCTAAACTCGCACGCTAATGGTATTCCTAAGGTTGCCGCTGGGCGGGAGGCATTCGCGACACATCCGGGCTCTGGGAATTCCTTATCAACAAGCGCTCTGGATACCAGGACTGGGCCGAGCCTCGCTTCTCAGCCAAGGGGTTCTACCATCCCAACCCAGAACGTCCCGGAACTACGGCAGCAAAGGGCGGATACGTGGTGACTGATGATCCGCGCCTTCTTCGGCATCTCAGGCCTTGAAGCTGAAACCATGGATCCTTCACCACGGAAGCTTCTGGAAGTTATCTATGAAGCCTTTGAGAGTGCTGGCGACACTTGGGAGAGCGTCAACGGGACTCGTACGGGCGTTCATGTTGCGGACATCTCCTATGATAACGCGTATGCGCAGACGCGTGACTGGGAGTATGCGAGGCCACACGCCACCACAGGTGTCTGCCGCAATATTCTCAGCAACCGTATCAACTACATTTTCAATCTCCTCGGCCCTAGGTAAGTTTCGCTTCGTGTTACCCCCGAGTGACTACTAACATGAAGACAGCGTCACACTTGACAGTGCCTGCACATCAGCACTTTACGCGCTACATTTCGCCATCCAGGCTATACGCGATGGCGACTGTGACTCAGCCATCGTCGCAACGGCAAACTGGATCATGGACCCAGCTATGCAGATTGCCATGGACAAGCTGGGTGCGCTCTCAGGCACATACATGAGCCACGCATTTGACGCCTCGGCTGACGGCTACGCCCGCGGCGAGGGATTTGCAGCCATCTATCTCAAGAAGCCGGAGACAGCCATCCGAGACGCATCCCCAATCAGAGCTTTGGTTCGCGGGAGTGCAATCGGTGCCAACGGCCGGTCAAGCGGCATTACCCACCCCAGCGGCGTCGCACAGGAGGGAATCATCCGCAAGGCGTACGTCAACGCTGGCAACCTGCCGCCCTCAGAGACGATATTCCTCGAGTGCCACGGCACAGGAACGCGCGTTGGTGATCCTCTCGAGGTGGAGGCTGCGGGCAAGGTCTTCGGGCCCGGCCGATCGGATGCTGAGGAGGACCGGCTGCTGATCGGGTCCGCCAAGACCAACCTGGGCCATACCGAGGGCGCGGCAGCACTCGCGGGTATCTTCAAGGCGGTACTAGCGCTCGAAGAGGGT